TATATATATATATATATATATATATATATATATATATATATATATATATATATATATATATATATATATATATATATATATATATATATCATTGGAATGTTGACGTTAAACTCGATACAGACTCATGATATACACGTCTCAATGGCATAAATCGTGATTACTATTAGATCTTTATAGCTACAAATGGGAACATATGGGAAGAAAATTAGTTGAAGAGACAAAAACTACCAAAATCTACATAAATAGGATTTAGGTTCGTTCAATTTTACAAAAATTTGCTTTGATTTCCTCTGCTAATGTTATCACAAAAATAGAAGGTGAACTTCATTTTATATAGAAGCGTTTCATTTGAGGTAATATAAAAGATTCACTTCCGATTTAAATGTGATTTGCAGCATGGCTTGCCTTGCAAATCAACATCAGATCGGCTGCTCATGCTTTATCTATTACATCATCGTCATCAGTGTCTTGATCAATCATCTCAGTCAAGGGTAAAGACGTCGTAGCAATAAATATTATCTAAAAACAGAAAAAGTAATAGAGGGCATTAGTATAGGGACTCATGCGAACAACAATATTATTAAAGTAGCCTCCTTAGCAGTGAAATGAATATAACTAGTATGCTATACCTTCAGATAAACTGCCTATATTTTTCTTCAAGCCAAAGCTGACCTCCAGACACGCGTGATCTCTAGACACGCGCGTTTAAGCCTCGCGAGACCAGTTCAGGGAGCCGAATAAATGCATTAATAGAAAGCTTTGAGCGCTTTTTTAATTTGTAAATTTAAAACCGGTTTTAAAGAATACATGTTCATATGGACAGATTGACCGTGCTCTTTGCATGCGTGAAAAGACTGGGGCTGTCTTTGGCTTCAAATTCCTGTGTGGAGTAAGCATTCATTTATATTCATTCCTGCACTGCTCTGTGGCAACACCAGTAAGCTCCTCGATCCATATATATCTGGAGCGAAAACACCAGAAAGTGAAGCCAAAGATGGAGCTATTCGACGTCATTTTCAGTCCATTTCTATTGTTTTAGTCTGCGTAGTCTGCAAGGAGTGCCAACCAAATTTCGTATTTCATGACTTCGGTTTAAATATCATACTGTGGTTTTATGAACTGGTAACTTGATTAGCCATACAATCCGTTAGAAAAAACTTGAATTGCTGTGGAAATAGCATAAAAACTGTTTACAACCTTCATGGCTATTGGCGTCAATTCCATTATCTTGGCTTCACTTTTCTAATAGGCTGAAAGACTGAATGTAACTTCCGTTAATTAGATATTAACATAAGAATGGAATATTGACATCAGAATATTTAATAAGCTATAAACGCTTGCGCAAGAACCTTTTTAGTTTAGATATGACTAAGAAGCTTCGGTTATAACATGTAGATGTACAAGACATAATTAAGATATTCTACACGATGTGGAATAAATCCCTGGATAACGTCAAAGTGATTGTAAGTATATATATGTATATATGTGTGCGAACGTTTAATATTTGTAGACCATATTGTTCATACTTAAGTGTTTGTAAATTTGTAGAAACCGTACCGTTACGTACCGAACAACGCTATGTGAATAAAGTATTAAAAAGAACGAGTTGATCACAAGTTAATTAAGCAGACTTTAGCATCTACACTGAAGATCTCGCTCCAGATACATATCGAGCTCACTGAGCAACCCTCGTTAGAGCGGTGGAGGTGGAAAGGAAAATGATCTTATTATTCGGTATGAGGATAACCCGGTGAATTCTACAAAAAACTGGAACAATAACTCCGGCTGTGTTTTTTAAGCAAAAGATGGCAGAAATTGAAGCCCATCTTGTAGTTATGCCCTCGGCCGCTACACATGCATATATTAACTGAATTCATGTACAAATTTCATAATTTTTCCAACCGACTATTTATAAGTCTGCTTTTACCATAGTCTTAATATAAGAAACTAGAACAAGTGGTCTTTCACAGTAAGCAAATTTTAGAAACAATTAAAGTCACCACTAAAAGCGAAGTTATCTGACGAGCGAAAAACAAGTTTAGAAAAGAGAAACACCAGCAAGCCTTTGTTTCTTCTGGACATCTATTAGGGGTTGAGCTTAACACAGGATTACATAAATCAGTCTTATATATCTTAACTCTTAGCATTTAGTGTTTAGCATATACCACTAAAAATAAGAATTTCCATATGCAAATATTAAAACGATCGGAGAGTAATTTTTATGCAGAAATATGAAGTACAATTTAAGGAGGCTCCCTACAGTTATTGGTAGAATTTGAAGTTGATTTAGTCAGACGTCATTTTCGCGTCGTGCGCGTGGAAAATTCGTGGTGTTTTTTACACAAGCGGACAAGCCGGCGAAATAATTTTTGAGTGCTCATCTTGAAAAGAACGACACCAGCATTTTTAATCCTACGTAGTTGAAATTATTAAAAGTACATATGTTGTTGACCAGTTATTAAACTTTTGTTTGGTATGTTTTTCACGTTTTAACGGTTAGTATTGGTTTTTAAAAAGTTCAAAATCTTCGACTTATCAAAAGTCGAAACAATATTAATTATGTTTTTGAAATGCTGGACTCAGTGGCTGGACTACAAAGTACAAACAATTATGACAATTATGTGTCACTGTAATATTTATTTATGTAATAGTTAATATCGAGACTTCGTTGCTCTTCATATTCAACTTGACTCGTCTAGCGTTTTGTTTTTAATGTTATAAAAGTAGATCCACTTCATGAAACAGATCTTTAGCGAAATAATTTTAATAGTCTTGAATAGTTTTACGGGTTTTCAACACAATCACACAGCAAGTGCAAATTTAGACGTTTAGGGCAAAATAGTTTTTCCATTCTTACCGTTTCAGATATACATGTACTCTACTTTCTGTTTTCAATAGTCTCAAACAAATCATAAATATTATGGAAGTCAGATTTCATAAATTTTGAAAACAAAATGTCAATCTTAGCCCCACGCGTGGGAATAGCCCCGCGCGGAAATTGAAATCCTGATTTTTTCGACGTCATACGCAAGAAAACAAGTGCATTTTTCTCTTGTTTCCTTCGGTAAACTTTTTTAAAATTTTGCACACTTTATGGCAATCACAAAATGCATAAAATATGTGATTTAAAAAAAAATCGTACGAGCCGAATTTTTTTAATTCCAAAAACAGGCTTTTTTGAGAATTACAAAAAATTGGCTCGTACGATTTTTGTAAAAAACTCTTTTTTGAAAGAATTATACTTTAGATCCTCGTGTGCAGAAAATTAAAAACTTTTACCGAAGGAAATTCTAAAAATCTGAGAAAGAATGTAAAAATAAGGCCTTTTTCAAATTGCCTTGTTGCCATGGTAACGAAACAATATGAAAATATTTATCACTTCTCGTATTCCAGTATACTGTAACAATGTTGTCTCCAAGTTTCGTTAGCATACGTTTTAAGCAAAAGAAATAATAGACCTTAAAGTGCTATTGACTGTTCTTAGTTACAAAACTGTAGGGAGCCACCTTAATGTAACAATGTTCCAGTTCACGGGTTTTACTGCTTTAAAAATGTAATTCTCCCGATGTTTCAGACACATTTTTTATTTTAGCGAGCTTTAAACGAATAGAATAACCGGGTAATATTGCATGCAGACCCTTTTTCTCCTAGATGGATTTTTAGACGGAAATTATCGAGTGTGAATTTTACATACATATATTAGACCTAACCAGGAACAGCTGCGAAAAATGCAATTATATAGTCCTCTGGCAGGAATCGAACCTGCGGCCCTGCGATTCAGGTGCAACCTCTAACCAACTGAGCTACAGAGTCGAGTTGTCGAACTCTAGTCAGAAGTACACATATATATTATGGTTAGAGCCTGCATTGTAATCACAGGGCCGCGGGTTCGATTCCTGCCAGAGGTCATATGTTTTGCAGCTGTTTCTGGTAAAGCTGCTCCCATCGGTTAATTTTCGTAATCGATTAATCGTTGTCAACAATCGATTAATATCGATTAATCGTGTTGATAATTAATTTAAATATGAAAAGCCCATGGTGGTTTGACAGGTTTCTAAATTGTAATTAAACTAAATTTTGGGGGGTTTCACCAGTCAGTATAAACGTTTTAAATCTTGGTTTAAAGAGAACATTAATCCCAATTGTTGATTGTGCTATACACTAAACACAAGAGAAATGCATGAAAAAACAGGAACGATATTAAGGATGTTTACTTTAGTTGTTTACCTTTGACACTCCCAAGTAAATTTGCGAGATTCAGACTCGTATGGATAATTGGTTTATTTCCGCACTCTGCAATGTTGGACGCAAATGGTAATAAATTCTTCTAATAAAAAAACTTGAAAGATATTTTCACAACACTGGTAACCTGATCAGACTATGGTAAACTTTGCACGCTGTCAATGAAATTGATATTTGACCCACAATGTTTTGAATCAATTTGTCATTTAATGTTTCAAGGCCACTGATTCTTGACGAAATTTTTTTAATCCGGGAAGAAATTAACTCATTCCCGCATCACGCTGTATGGTGTTATATATGATCCGATTATTGTTAAGCATAATCGATTGTGGAAAAATAATCGATTAATCGAACTTTCTGGTTAGGTCTAATAGATGTATATAAAATTTACACTTTATAATTTCCATCTACAAAACCCATCAACTATTATTCAATCGAGTTCGACACCAACAAATCTTGTTATTATATAGCTAGGGTGAACACCAAACGTGATTGGCTGATTTGTGGTCACGTGACTTCAGATAAATGCAATATCCCGCCGGGCAACAAGTGAACAATTGTTGCTCGCCCCGACCGCCTACGTACATAATTAAACAAAATGGCGGCAGAACTAGCATAATTAGAAACTACGATTTTCCAAGTTTGTGTTCAAATAAAGAATGTAAAAGAGAAGAAGAATATACAACAGGAAACAGGATATGCTACTGAAACCGCTTAAGTAGGTTCTTTTAATTTTAAACTTGTTTACACTATAGAGTTTTTGTCACGAAATACATGAATTGTTGTATGAATGTTGTTGAATGTTGATTTTTGTTCGTCGCTAGCTATATAACAAAACGCTTAATGTATGTTCCCTCGGGAAACAATTAGTTTTGTTTTCCCTCGAATCTCAATATTTCCCTCGACTTCGCCTCGAGAAACATTGAAACTCAGGAAAACAAAACAAACTATTTCCGTCGGGAGCAGACAGTAAGCTAGTGTATAATATTTACCCCCTACCTTTTCCTACTGATATCAAATCGGTATCTTTCAACGTACCTGAAATTGTCAAATGTATTTATGCCATCATGAACTATGGCATATGAGGAAACTTTGCAAACTGTCTTGCATCTGCATAAGCATTGTCCAACATTTCTTCAAATTTTGGATCTAATCCCTGAGAACTCTCCGTTTCTTGTTTAACTTCAGGCGTTCGTAGTTTGGTAGCAGAAACCAAACCATCGTCATCGAGAGCAACATTAGTAAGACCGTCTAATGTAGTTGTTGTGGCTATAGAATTCCTGTCTGTTTCTTCAGTTGTTGTCTTGGATTTTCTACATCTAAATTCAATAATTCTTCAGAAATTAGGAGAAGAAGATTTGTAATGATCAAACAGGCCTTTGCTACAAAGGTTCATAAATCTGGGGATGGATCAATACCCTGTAAACTGCAGAGGCGGGAAACGTGAAGACGGAAAAGTAAAGAAGCAAAAAAATCTCGAAAGAAAGATCAAGTTATGTAAATAGATGAATACCATTGCTTTTATGCAATTAGTATGAAAGAAGTAAATGCATGGATAACGTAATATATAATATAATGCAGGATAACATGCCAAAGGTGGACCACCTTTTTTATACACCCTGTAACCAAGATTATAAAGGAATACTTTAATCGTGAAAATTTGAAACAGAAAAATAAAAAGAACAATAATTTTTGGCTGCGACAAAAGTTCCACTGCCAGTGACGTCATCTGTCTTACTTATCAAACAAAGTGAAATATTTGAAAAATACATGTTGAAAAAGTGTAAAACTTCATATGGAGAATTGTGGTGTGAAAGATATACATGCAACTACCAGAAAAATATATTAATAACAATTTATTTATATCAGACGGCTTACATCACTATTTTAGTGCTTTTCAGGGTTCTGCATGTATGCATGTGACCAAGTTATATATATTTAAAAATCTACATGCATACAGTACAAATATTACGTCCAAAGCATTGTCTTCTTCACTTCTCATTACTCGTTCAGTCTTTGCTCTGCCGGCCTCAAACAAATTCTCGTTTCTCGGACAAAAATTACTGCCAATCACTGCTCACACCTCTATGCATGCAAATCAAAAGTCAAAAATCCGTCATTTCACCGACTTCATGAGAACAAATATTCAAATATTGGCAACTCTCGGCTCAAGAATATACGTATCCTTTACCACCCTCAACAATGAATTGGGTCATTAGGAGTTCAAATATTGTAGCTACTTGCCTTCTCCTGAGAACGAGAATCGTCAATATTAATGCAACCAAAAGTATAACAAAGCCACATGTCCCAACAATTGTCACTGTGATGATGTTTCTTTCGTTCATAGCTCTATAAAATACCTAGATCATAAAATTGAATCAGTTGTTCAGTCGTTATAGGGCTAACAAATTATCAGCACAATACAGAAGACAATCGTAAAGTTTCTAGGCTGGTTCATACCCACTTCCTGAATGAGGATTGGAAAAAATAATTGCATATGCATTGTGCATGGTGGTAGTGGTAAAGCATCATACTCCTCAATCCACTGATCTATATATGTACACATTGACGACTGCGTGAATACGAGTCAGGTTTTTAGGTAGATATGTAACACCAAAATCGGAAATCATGTTATTCGATCACAAACTCTAGACACGAGACGTTTAAAACAAGATACACAATACTCAAGTTGATATTTCGAATCTAAAGATTATTTCAGATTATTTCTTAGATAGCAAACAGCACGAAGGCAAAATCAATTGAGCAAGAACAGACAAAATTATAATTACTAGGACTTTTGCTGTGGTTCATAAAGGAATAATAATTAGTTCTACTTTGAATTTCTATTAGAATTACTTTGAAGCCGCTATTATGCTCGATAATTGTTTCTACAACTAGCTAGTAATAAAAATATTTCAAAACATGTACTGTACAGTGTCTACCGACTACACTGTATAAATTTATTTTCCAAACGAAATTAGGGAGAGCAGTTTAATCCTTTTCATCCTATCAAACAAAATTGCTCCTCGCCAGGTCCGCCGAGAGGGGGGGCAGGGGAAATTTTCTCCGGGCCTCCGGATAAAACCAAAACACACCCAAAGCAACGAAGGCCTTAATTAATAAAAAATTCTAGATACAAGATTGCTCAACTAAGAATATGAATCCTAGCTGAGTTAGTGCCGGATACTATGCAATAAAGTGTAATTTACTGTAAAACACCGCTTCTTCTGTTTTACAATTATGACGTCATAGGGGGAATGGGGGGGGGGGGCTCCCTTGGAAAGTTTTGTCCCGGGCCCCGTGCAACCACTCGGCGGCTCTGTTTCTCATCACAAAATAGTAGGGAGCTTAAACACGTAGGACGGCAACACGACGACGACGGCAACCAATACAATGAGTGAATGAAAAGAAATAAATAATTAAAGTCCCGAGGGAGATTCAGACGTAGTCGTCGCTCTGTTTACAACGGCAAATCACAGATTTTCACGTCTTTTATACAACGCCTGCATTTCAAGCCGTGACAATTACAAGTGCAAATTAAAATTCGGTTCTGTAGAACTCTTCCCAAACTTAAAGCCAATGTTTTCAACTTCTTATACTTTATTAAATTCATACGAATTATAATATATGACAAGTTTTCTTTACTATCATTTATTTGAAGGAATTTGTTTTGGCCGTCGTGGTCGTGTTGCCGTCCTACATGCTTAAGAGGCTGTCTCCGTAAAAACCTCCAGGTCAGTATGGGGCTCAAAAATAGATTTCTCTCATACTCTAGTATTTTGAAGATCTATCCTTGGGAACAACTAAAATCGATGTCATTTTACTCAAATTTCCTTTAAATTATTTTTGGGGGCGATTGATGTTCGATCGACTGGTAACCAACTTGATACTCCGAATGAAGGCCAAATATCGACATATTTTCAGCGCTATTTTTCAAATCAAATTCATACCTAAATTTCAAAATTTTTGCTCAGAAATATAGACTTATCCTTCTATTTTCGTCGGTGATACAACTTAGATCATTATTCTTTGGTATAAAATAGAAAACAGCGCAGTTATTGACCCTCCCGAACGGATAAAGGATATCGTCTCAAAATATGTCAACTTCGAAAGCTTATTTCAAAATCGTGGCACTTGATTGGCACATGACTTTAACTTTTCTATAAACTACTAACATTAGTCAACACAAATCGCCAATAATATCTTTCTGCTCTACCATTTGACAAAAATGACAAGCGCGCAAACTTTGTAAAATTTGAAAATGTGTCGAAATCGAGCATACTTTATTGGTAAACATAATTATTGATATTAACAGATAAAATCACCTTACACTACACTGAATGAAGCTTCATTATGTAAATACATGTCTTTCATCATTATTCTTTGGTTTGGCGCTTGAATCAAATTGTTTGAGTACAGTTTGGCTTCACGGATAGAGTCATTCAATGCCAGTGTGTCCAGTGTCTTCTGCGCGCCTCAATGCCACGAGTCCTGATTGTGACATACTATACAATCTTCGCCCTGTTCGCTTTGTTTACCTCTTTAACAAATACATGTTTAACAAATAACAATATTCAATGAAATTGGAAAACTCAGAATTAGTCATACTACAGACAGAATTTTCATCGTTTTTAAACTGTTTTATAAAAGTTTCGTTAGAATGTACGAATTAAATCTCGGGGAAAACCCCGGGCAATGATGTCAAATGTCAATATTTCGTTAGTTTCGCTCAGTATAGTTTTCTAGCAACTGAATTGTCTCTAGGTTTAGAAACAATTATCAATGAAACTAGAATTCAAGTAAGTCACGGTTCTGTATAAAAAAATCAACTTTTTCAGGCCGACCCTGGGTCACTTTGCTCAAGGCTATGCTTCAAGAATTTACATTATTTCTTATTGTATAAAAATATGCGAATATTTTGATATAATACAAAACAATTCAGCGCAAACAGCTGTAACCCATTTGAACGTCTCAGTTATTTAATCAATGTTATTCCTTTTTTCAGTAACAATTAGAAAGGTTCTGAAAATTAGAATTAATTTATATTCTTCTTTCCGACAAGCTTTAAAGGGTGACAAATTTGCAAGTGATAACTAATGTCATTCTTACACGCCAGCAACTTCGAAGAACAGTCTACTGTGTCTCGGAATTTTCCACACTCAGAAGTAGAAAAGGAACATTTCTACATTATTGTTTACCGTCATTCTCATCTGTCAACATAAAATCTACTGTCTGTCGAAATCGTTTAAGGCCCTGTCACACTATTGCGTATCGTACTAGCGTATGCCAGCGTATGAAAAATATCACTCATACGCCGGTATACGCTGACATACGCTAGGGGTACGCTAGGCATAGGTTGTATACGTTTCAAGCACGGTCGCATACGGTGGCATACGGCGAGGCAGAAAATTTTTTTAAGCATGTTCAAAAATTTTGTGCGTATCGGACGTATGCTTTATACGATAAGCATACTCTAGGCACACGCTCAATACGCTAGAGGTACGCCAGATGTACGGTACTCATACGCTGGCATTGCAAAGGATTTTTGTGCGTATGAAAATTATTTCATTGATTTTCATACGCTTCTCATACGTTTCTCTCATACGCATTAGTGTGACAGGGCCTTTAGGTTTACCTAAAGGCCCTGTCACACTATTGCGTATCGTACTAGCGTATGCCAGCGTATGAAAAATATCACTCATACGCCGGTATACGCTGACATACGCTAGGGGTACGCTAGGCATAGGTTATATACGTTTCAAGCACGGTCGCATACGGTTGCATACGCTGGCATACGCCGAGGCAGAAATTTTTTTTTAAGCATGTTCAAAAATTTTGTGCGTATTGGACGTATGCTTTATAAGATAAGCATACTTTAGGCACACGCTGAATACGCTAGAGGTACGCCAGATGTACGGTACTCATACGCTGGCATTTCAAAGGATTTTTGTGCGTATGAAAATGATTTCATTAATTTTCATACGGTTCTCATACGTTTCTCTCATACGCAATAGTGTGACAGGGCCTTAACGTTGCATGATCACAAATTGCGGCTGTAGTAGAAGTAGAACACCATTATTGTAAACACAAAAACCTCGTGCAATACTGTCTAAGACTACTATTTAATTCAATACAAAGAAAGGGAAATCAGAGAGCAACGAAACATTTCATCGTCATTTGATTGACATGTTTACGCTCAGCGAGTACATTTCTTTCGGTTAGGAGTTTTCCCCGAGATTAATTCGTACATTCTATAAAACGAAACTTTATATAACAGTTTAAGGTAAACAAACCAATGAAAGTTATGTCTGTAGTATGACTAATTCTGAATTTTCTAATTTCTTTGAGACATTTTATTTACAGGAGGTAAACAAAGCGAACAGAGCGAAGTTCGTATGTCACAATCAGGACTGATGCCGTCATGGCATTGAGGCGCGCAGAATTCGAACACACTGGACACACTGGCATTGAATGACTATCCTTGAAGCCAAACTGTACAGTCAAACAATTTCATTCGAGTGCAAAACCAAAGAATAATGATGAAAGACATATATTTACATAATCAAGCTTCATTCAGTGTAGTGTAAGGTGGTTTTATTTGTTAATATCAAGAATTATGTTTACCGATAAAGTATGCTCGATTTCGACACATTTTCAAATTTTACAAAGTTTGCGCGCTTGTCATTTTTGTCAAATGGTAGAGCAGAAAGATATTATTGGCGATTTGTGTTGACTAATGTTAGTAGTTTATAGAAAAGTTAAAGTCATGTGCCAATCAAGTGCCACGATTTTGAAATAAGCTTTCGAAGTTGACATATTTTGAGACGATATCCTTTATCCGTTCAGGAGGGTCAATAACTGCGCTGTTTTCTATTTTATACCAAAGAATAATGATCTAAGTCATATCACCCGCGAAAAT